GTGGTTTTCTTAATTTCTTTTTTATGTTTTATTCATTTAGAGTGGTTTTCCTTTTTTTTAATTATGGAGTCTCAGTTTTCTTTCGTATATGGTCAGTTATGAATTGTGTTTTTTTCTTTGTTTAATTGCTTTTGATTTTGTTTCATACTGCCAGTTGACTAATTATTATTATTATTATTATTATTATTATTATTATTATTATTATTATTTTTTCAAATGAAGCGCATTTTTTTTTTGTGTTCGGACTTTCAAGAACATACTTTTTTGGATTTGATTTTTAGACTTTTTTAAATTACTCATCATATAAATGGTTCAGGTCGCTTCTTCTAACTAATTTTTAGGGAAGCCTTTTATGAATTTGAGGTGGAGAGGGAAGGAATGATGTTTCTACGTTTATTTGTGTTTTATACATCACTTTTACCTACAGGAAAAAAAAATTTCTCAATTTTTAATGGACTCTTTTACTTATTTTTTTTGCCATGGTGAGGTGAGTTCTTTTTTGCTATAACTTGAAACCCATGCAAATTTACATTAATTTTCATTCTCATATTTGTGATCAATCAGTTTCAACAATTAATCAGTTTCAAAATCATACTTTTGATATTTTACTAGCTATAAGCCTTTGGAAGAAACAGTTCCAACAATTAAACGTATACCCTTCGGAGGAAGCTTACTACAAAGCTATCATAAATCTCCAAAACCAAGTATTGATTTGGCACGACAAATGGAGAACATCAATAAATCATCTTACTAATATTTAAACTTATTAGGATACTTTTATATTTTGTCTAACATTTACTTCAAGAGATATACTTGATCAAGTTTATTTATATTTAATAAGTAACACTTATAAAACATTTCTAAAATATTCAAACATTTCTAAAACGTACCGTGCCAAATACACTTTCTTTTTTTTTGCCAAATACAAACATTTTTATGATCACACTTATAAAACATTTCTAAATTCTTCAAACATTTCTAAAATATATCAGGCCAAATACAAAATATTTTTTTTTTCAAATACAAACATTTCTAAGATCTACAGATATACTGGGCCAAGGTTGCGCGTTGCGCGACCAGACATAACTAATATTAAATATAAATAGACTTAATCGAATATATGTGGTGAAATAAATGTTAGACAAAATATAAAAGTATCTTAATAAGTTTAAATATTAGTAAGATGATTTATTGATGTTCTTCATTGGTCGTGCCAAATCAATATTTAGTTTTGGAGATTTTTATTAGTTTTGTAATAAGATTCATCCGAAGGGTATACGCTTAAAACAAAATTGACACTTTGTAACAAAAACCTAATTGAGCAATTCAATTTAGACTCCATAATTAAGAAAAGAAAACCACTCTAATTGAATGAAACATAAAAAAAAAATTTTAAAAAAAAAACCGTGTCACGTAAAGTGCAAAAGGAGATTTAGTAATTTAGTTATGGTTAGACAAAAGGGCAATTTAGTACTTTCTTCATGTCACATGGCAATCATAGGAGGTGTTTGAAAAGGGAGTTTTTATTTCTAATATAGTAGGATTTCGTTTAAGTTTAATATTACCCACCTATTGTCCAGTTTTTTGAAAAAAGAAATATATTAAATTTGTTAGGAATCAGCATGCATGATAAAAGTAGCTTGGCACTAATGACCAAGTTATATTCTTATTTACATAATAATACTCAGAATAAATGTTGGGTTGGTGAGATTAGAATATTGATGTGATCCATTAGGATTTTAATTGAGCAATTTACACACGTGATATCTAACATTCAGCAATTTCCAATTGGCATATATCAATAGAAGATTTCACATGATGTCATGTCACTATCTTAAGTCAGGTATTTATCAGGCAATTAAATTTAAAACGACGCTGTTTGATAACCACGTTGTCTGTTAGATCCACGTTCTCATTAGTTAATCAATATCTCCTATTCACAGCAATCGATTAGCTTCCAATTCGTCATCATACATCCAAACTAGCCGATTCCTGTACCTGTTAGCAAGTTCTTCAGATTTGCATCCTTGCTTCATCGTTGTCGTCGGAACACACCCGCAGAATTAATGCCTTCTCGATAACCGGTGGTGCAAGTGCCAACTTCTGCCTCTGAATTACAAAGAAGGGTTTTTGTTCCCCGATTTTTTCCCATCAGTTTCGTAATTTCTTTGTCCGTTTGGTATCATACTCCCATGAAGTGAAAAGGTGAGAGTAAGATGACGGAAGATTACAATTCAGTCTTTAATACTTCATTCACCTCAAGTTTGATTGTTAATATGGTGTCCTGCCACGAAATAAATGCCTACAATCAATCTGAACTAATAGATTATTAATATGAGATGTCATGTGGGTCGAGGAGTTTGTATATTCCTGTGTGTGACTTAATAGAGTACTATATTTATGTCGGTTACTTGTTTTGTTTTGTTTTGTTTTTTTTTGTTTCTTTTTTCCCTTAAGCCTTTTTATTCAAGAGATTTAATTTCTAGCTACTGTCCAGATTATGATATCTTAAGTCTTGCATGTAAGTTAGTGATTGAGCACTTGAACACATTAAGTTTTAAATTTTTGTTAGACAGTTTTCTATGGAGCTTGGAGTAGAGTATGTGACCTGAAGCAGTATAGAAAAACTTTAATTAGACTGGATGGGCATGTTACATGTTTTCTTCAACTTCTGATCATTTTCATTAATTAATTGCTTCACCCATTGTACTGGTATTTTTACATGTGACACCTTGATGGTGGCCAGTGTTGATTTATCGCGGAAAAATTGCTTGTTTTGATGAGCACAACAGCTTTTTCATGTACTTTTTTTCTTTTCTTCTTCTTTTTGTTGTCCGTTTAATTGCAGATTGAATGGATGTTGATAACTAGCTGAAATCTGAAATTAATGCACTGCTGAAGCTGGAAAGATTTCGTCCTCCTTATTGATGGTGACAGTTGCTCTGTAGCATAGATGAGTTCAAAGCTAGAGAAATGGATTACATTGGTAAGTGAAAAGCTCCTCATTTTCCTTATTTCCTGAAGTGTGTTCTTGTAATTCAACAAGTTTTATGTTCATTGAGATTTCAGGATATTTTTACCATTTTTCTCAAATTTTTGCTCTTGGAGCAGCAGTAACTTACTCAAGAAGTCTGAAATTATTTTGATGGTTGGATCTTAAATGTTACTGATCTTCGTTCATGTCCATACATGATTCATCTATTGTGACTTTTTATGCTGTATTTTTTGCTTACTCAAAGAAAATGTGCCTCCTAGCCTCTGTTTTATCATAATTTCTGTTTGCTGCAATCCTATTTGGGATTTATTGTCTGTTGTGTCCACCAGCCATGACACTGTTTTCATTTTCTTATTATCTGGGTAAAAGGAGTCAATAATTGAGTACAAATAGAATTTCTTTGTTACACCAGACTACCATACTTTAATTTAGTTTTTCTTTTAGTATGTTGCAATCACGTCCTGTACATTTGCTTGTACTAATGGAATCGATTGTTTTAGTGAAATCATTATGCTACTGCTTCAATTTCTGCATTCAATAATGAGAATGACGCTCTATCGACTATCGGCAATTTCAAGTTAATTTGACTGCTTTCATGTTGCTATTGTTGTGGTACTAAATTCCCCTTCCTTTGATTTTGTAGCTCTTTAATCTCGTGTGAAGCTTACACTTAGGCCATCAGTAAAAGAGTAACTAAATTTCTCTCAGATTTGATCGCAGTTGCTAGATATAGTAATCTCAGCTTACGGCTGAATTATGACAAGGAATTAAATTACAATAGAATGGATAGTTTTATTTTCCTGCTACAATGGAATGAACCCAAAAGAAAACAAAAAAGAAATCTTACTGCTCAAGTTTTTGTAGTTTGCCAAGTCCCTTTGAGTTTAAGAACTTCAGAAAGCAATGACATTCCGAGAACTCACATGTTTAACCTATTAATATTATTTCTGCAGGTGAATTCTGAGACAGCACACTCAAATTTCTAGAAACAGCTGAAGTGTTGCCAACTATAAGTAAGTTGAACTATTTTGCGTTGGTTTTCTATGTAAACCAAAAATAATTTCTTTGTTCTTGTTAGTTTCATGGACTATGGACTGTAGTTTTGTGCTCATGTTGGAACATATCACTTTCACGTACTATGTTAGTAATCCACTCATCTTGCAATTGGATATTTGTTGAACCAATGCTGCACTGTAAAGTTTTTGTGGAAACTCGATGTACTAGGGATATAACCTCGTGGGAGGCTTATGTTAGGAGTTTGATATCAAGTTTTAGTGATTCACTGTGTGGAGATCTATGAATAAATTGCTAAGATTGAAACATATGGAAAGTGCAGCCACTGATATTGCATTATTGGAAGAGCTTTTAATAGGGTTGAATTACACAAAACTTGTGAATGTAACTATTCTTGAGTGGGACTAAAAATGAAATTCCGGTTTCTATTGGAAGTTCAATTCCCAAAGCTTTAGCTCATGCTATGAATAAATAAAAAACCGTCATCACGTTTGAGGAAATTCAATGGTGAATACTAGATCTTGCTGGAAACTTTAAGGGATGATGCATCAATTTGGTTAGTTTCTCTTTTTGTCCAGATTTGTGTTTTTTTTAATTGGTCGTTCTATATGCTTTGTCCCGTTTTTAATTAGTGCTATACTTTTATCCCTTTTTAATTACATGGCAACAACGGAGTGACTAGTGTTTCTTTTTTCAAATTAAAAAATTCAGATCATTTAATATGCTTGTTTAAAATTTTTTTTATGCATTATACTAACTTGCCTACTTGTGTTTCTTTTCTCAAATTCAGATATTCAGATCCTTTAATATGCTTTGTTTAATTTTTTTTATGCATTATACTAACTGTTTTACTCAAGTGTAACTACTACAAACTGTTTTAAAAAAGAAGACAGAAAAGAAGTTAAGCTTAGGCGAGTCCCTTTTCTGTTCAAAAATGCTTAGGTTAACCTTTGCAAAGAAATTGTTTAAGTTTTTTATTAATTGAGCTCATCCACTTGAAGATTTATTAAAAGTTTTGAACAATTACAAGTTTAAAAACTTGTTGAACTGATCATGAAAATTTTTTAAAATGTTTTGAACAAAAACAAGTTTAATAATTTGTTGAACTTATCGCGGAGATTCTATTGAAGTTTGAAAATCAACTCAATATAATGCACGACGGAAAAAGAACTAGTATCACATGAAAAATTGGGTGGGTGTGGTTCCCAGGTGATCAATAGTGAGTAAGTCTAAAACCCTTTCAAATTCCAACATCAGGCTGGCGACTTTGCTAAATTTTTGGACCCGAAAAAAAAGAGAAAAAAAAAAAGAAAAGGAGAGGACTCTTCTTTGCACTTCTCCAATCATCATTCGCCCACCACTTGACCACGATTCCAAATCAAATTCCTTTCCTTTTTATCAGTTTTAGTTCAATTAATTGTAGTTGCCGTACCCATTATCCTGCATGAAATTCGCCATAGAGATGTAAGCTTCTTTGATTGCAGTGAGCTCTAACTTTTGCATATTTCTCCCCAAAGGGTGAACATATCTCCCTTCTTTTTGTGGTGTTTAAATGTCTTATAAAACCTTTTGCGCCTAGCAAAATGTAATCCTATCGTAAATTTGAAATTGAGTATGCTTATTTTGTGTTTTGAACACCTATGGTTCAACTCTTGTAGGTTGCATCCAATTGGGTTTAATTAGAGATGGATGTCTTCACTGAATCTGGTGGTATCAAAGAAGATATGCACGCCTTCAATCTTTTCCCTATTCAGGTATACTAAAAGTTCTTTTTATTTTATTTTATTTATTTATTTATTTATTTTTGTTCCCTTGAGAGATTATTAGTTTGTGATTAAAGTTATGGAAATGCAGATGACATCCGTGATTATTCCTGTTCAATCAATCTACGCTACATCAATATCTCACGGTGAAACACACACATTTATTTGTACAATGGAGCCTACAAAAGTTAAAGTTTATGACATCAGTGACCGTAGTGCTGTTAGATGTGTGGATACACACTTTCCTGGGGAGGATTCGATTTTAATGCATCCTTCTATGAAAATCGCAGCCCTGAAAGGCCTTCCTAGTTTGGTTTCATTAACTTATTTAAATTTTATAATCAATGAACTTTTCTACTTAATTATAGTAAAATTTTGTTGGAGATGATTTTGCTTATATAAGTGTTTAGGCATTTCCTTATGCATCAGAGCTGTGTAGCGAGCTCTATAATGTCTATATTTGGGTGATGTTAACTTCACCTTTTGTTTTTCTCCTAAATTAGTTTAATTTGGATTCTATGTTAAGTTTGGAATGTTGGAAGGATTATTTGTTCTAGTCGGACTTTTTATTGATTGTAATCTGTTTTTGTTTAAAGGTTTCAATTCTGTGAGGAATCTAGATCGTCTGCGAATTGTGTATTTTGAGGAAAAGGAAGAATTTGCATATTGTGACATACCTCACAAGGTACTTGACACACCTCTTTAGTTAGTTATTTTTTCATATCTCAACATGATGCCTATTGAATGAGTGTTATGTGGATGAAGTTCCAAAAAAAAATCTGTTTACATTTCTCAAAATATATTAGCGTTTTTTTGAATCCTTTGACATATTTTATGCTAGCCATGAGATATATTGTTTTTAGTCATAAATGCCTGTCTATCAAATCCATTTATGTTGAGTAAATAACTTTCCTTTTGCATTATACCAATAATAATAATAATAATAATAATAATAATAAATTTCCTTCTACATGCATGAGATATATTGTATTTAGTCATAAATGTATGTCTATCAGATCCATTTATGTTGAGTGAATAAAGTTCCTTCTACATTATAATTTTGATGGTCGAACATGATCTTGTCTTATTTTCTTTTTTGTTTTGAATCATTCTCTAACGGTCTTGCATTTCCCTTTGAAAGGTCTTGAGTTTGGATGGTCATATTGGTACATTAAGGTTTGGATGGTCCTACTGTGTTGATTTGACAATCCTATATTTTGGTTAAATTTTTTAAGGTCACGTTGTTTTGGATCAATATGGTTATTTAAAAAATAAAATTAAAAAAAAAATCCACCAAATAGAATGGTGGATCCCTTCCTATGTTTTTTGCTGAAAATAAGCAGAGATCCACATCAAGCATGTTTTGTATGCATCATTTTGTTTAATGTTTTACATTCATAAACTTTTGGTCCTTTTTATTTTCCTTTGCTAAATCCCTTTTCTCTGTGTAGATTCGATATTGGAGATGGATCCAGGGTTTAACGCTTGGTTTGGCTTCAGATTCATATGTATATATGCTGTCATTGGGAGGTATTAGTACTTTTTGCTCGTGTATAAAGACTGAAATTTTTTTCCTTTTGTTGTAAAATTACCAAACATTTTTCTATGCTTTATTTGCAGAAACCTTAAACCTTATCCAAGTGTTGGATATTAGCAATACACATTTGAAGGTCATAGACTATCAGTGTGATCCCTCCGTCAATTGGCTTGCTTTGACATTTTCAGAATCTTGTGAATCTCATTCGGTGAGTGAAGTTTATTAGTTTTGGCGAGTATTACTTTGGTATTGAAAATTCTAACTCTATTGTTTTATTCTTTGGTTTTCTTCATGGAAACAGAGTTCCCATCTAGGAGAAGGATCAAAAACAATGGTCATCTATTCAGTGCAATCAAAGAGTCATTTAAATCTTAATTTTGTTTCTCCTGTTTGTTTTGACCCTTCCAGTGTAAGTTCATTTCTTATATCTTTTTGCTTTTATTGTATGTTGTTACACGAAATGCATGTTTTAGATTTTTTTTGTTTATTGAGCAGGTGGAAGGATGTGCATTACTTATTGGGGCAGAACTTTTAGGTTCTTCCCTAATCCTGAGATATCTCACTATCACAAATCAGGGAGGTAAATGATATTTCAATAAGGTATCTCGGTTATATTATTTTTGGTTGTATAATCTTCTAACTTAACTTCGCAACTGTGACGAAGGAACAGTGAACCAGCCGTTGTTCGTAGATATTGTGCAACTACAAAAAGATGTTCATGAGCAAAATATTCTGACCGACTCAGTATTTGCGCTTAAGGTAAACTTGACTGTTTTCTTGTTTTTCTTTTTTGGGAAAAATAATCATATTGCAACATCCAATCGACTCTTTTTAACACTTACTTCGGGTAATAATCTTTAGAGCATTCTATCCGTTGTTTTTAGTGTTGTAGCACTAACTTCCATTGAGAGTTTCCTGCACTCAAAGAACTTTAGCACATTTGCCTTCTTCAACTCGTCTTCCACAACTTCACCATTTTCCTTAATGTATGGCATGATTCTGTTTTTGGTCTGTCTACTCTTTGATCGTACCATGGAGTGTAGCAGGGTTAGTATCCCATGGTTGTTGCCAATCCACCTTTGTCCAGCCTGTCCTCGCGCACTAGATACTGTTGTTTAGTCATTCTTCCTCTCTCATAGTGTTTTAGAACATTGTATTTGTAGTTGTTAGTGTCATTGTATTAATTTTCTTGAGAGTTTTTCTAGCTACAGAACTCTAGCACATCTGCATCCCTCATGTCAGTTTTCAACAACTTCACCATTTTCCTCAATGTGTGACGTGATTCTGTTTCTGATGTGTCTACTCCTTGATCATCCCATGGAAAGATGCAGAGTTAGTATCCCCTCAGTTGCACCCAGTCCACCTTTGCTTTTGATCTTAAGTAGCTGTAGCCTTCTTTCTATCTAGATACTGTCGTTTCATCATTTTTTCTCTCTCATGGTGTTACTGATTTAAGGGATATGTTTGCATCAATATCTGAGCCGTGATTTTTATTATAGGCTTCCTAGCTTCTCTTATTCACAAAAATTTCTTCCTGTGAGCAACCTCAGTTCTTTTCTAGTGCATTTAGCTTTATCTAGTGCATCACTCCATCGATTGGTTTTCCCCAGCTTTTCTATACCTGTAGAAGACATTTTAGCTCCCCGTAATAATATTGTTGTCCGACACGACTTTTTGTAATCTCCAGCAACCATCCATGGTTCTGAGGTGGTATCTGCTTTTTTGGATAGCTCAATCCATTAGTCTGTTGTACCATTAAGGGTTGAACTGTGTAGACACCTTTCGACCAAAAGCCTCAAACTTTCCCACTATATCAACTTTGTGACTTATCAATTGTTCATAACTTCTCAAACTATGAATTTTGAATAAATTCAAATTCCAGATTAACAATATTCTCAAATTGCTATTCTGAGCATGACTACAGAACCATTGCTCCTGATTCCAATGCTTAGCTATGACCTCTCTATTTTGATTGTATTGGATGTCTCTCCTTTGCCCCTTCTACGGGGCCATGACTAGCCCACTCTAGTGGTGTGCGGTATGAGATTGGGGATAAGATAGAAAAATCTCATTAATTTTCTTGAATCAATACCTTCTTAATTTTTTTGTGTTCATTTTTTGTTATTATAACTCATTTTCTTCTCGGTGATTTGATGATTTTTTGACTAACGAAATTGGGTTTATCAATCTTTGGCAGTATTGCGGAAGATATAGCTGGGTTTATGTGGTAACAAAAAACGGACTTGTGCTTGTGTTTGATGTAAAGCAAGCTACTTTGGTCCACATCTCACGAATTGATCCGTTAAGTTTGATGTCTGAACTTTCATTAGAGGGCGACTTTTGTGCTGTCAGCACATTAGGCAAAGTGTTTATTGTTGGTATCAACAAACAGAATATAGTCCCTCATATTGGATTCGTTAGAAAAGCCTGGGTCCTAGCTTCAGAACTTGCTTCAAGAACCAATCTTCCGGGTGCTGAATCTTTGGTAAGAGTTTTCTAGTCATTTTCTACTTTTATATACATGTGATAAAAATTTGCTTTTTTTTTTTGTGTTTTAGGAAGTGAATATTATTCATTTTGTTGTTTCAGTTTGAACATCAATTCCAATGCTTACTTGATAGCGGAAAATATGAGGAAGCTGCAATATGTGCGGCTAATTCACCACAAGACTCTCTTCGCACCCATGTTCATCTGAGGAGACTTTTGGTTTGTATTTTCTCTTTTATGGATTGTCATTTCTCTTTTATGTGATGTTGATGGCCTATCTATGAAATATTTATTTCGAAATATCTAATCTACAATTTTAATGAAGTAGAGAGCGGCTGACCTTCTGTTATATCTATTGCAGCTTTTTTGTAGTGACCCTGGTAGAATTCCTGTAAAAAGGTACTTTGATGTGCTGGAAAAATATCGAAAAGAAATAAGTAAGGACGAATATGAAGTATATTGCAATCACTATGTTGGAAGTAGGACTCCAGTTAGAGGTTTGCTAGCCCTTAATAGGTTTAAGTGCACTGAGGACCTAGGCGACTACATTAAGGTATGTCTCATTACCCTTCTGCTTTTTTTAAAAAAAATTATGTGAAATGTGGTGTATACAATTTTGAATGACATGGTTTGCACACTTATCTTTTGCATTTTGTACAGGGGGTGGATCTTGATGTCGCCACAAAAATTTACATGAAAGCAGAAGCATCAAAGAAAGTGATAGATATTTTTGCTCGACAAAATGACATTGAGGGAATATTCATATACTGCTGCCTGGTATGCCTCTGAATCATTACGCTATAACTTGATTCTTCTTTTAAACTTTAATTTTTTACATGGCATCTATATATTTGATGTTTAAGTTATCATATTCAAACAGGCTGGGTTCTATGACTATTTTTATATTCTTGAAACTCTTCTTCAAACAAGAAGTAAGGTATGTATGTGACATTGTTTTATGTTAATTTACAGTCATTAACTTTCTAAATACGTTTCCCTTGGGGACTTTTGTTTTGTTTACCATGAAGCTTGATGTGGCATCGTTTGCCGTTGTGTGATGACCTTTTCATATAAGTTGCTTTGAATTTGTATCTAGGAAGTAACAGTGCACACTTAAGAATGAGAAATCAACTTTAAGTTGTTTGGGGGTGTCCTTTTCAGAGTTTAAGACTACTTGATTTTCTTGGTTGCTTTGAGCAGGATGCTGTCACTTTTGCTAGGATCCTGAAGAAAAGGTTTTCGATTGAATCCATATGTAGATTCCTTATAAAGGTTTAGATCATTATCTCTTGTCTTCTGTGCCTCTTATTTGGTTATTTCCTCTTTTTTGTGAACTAAAAAAATGTATTCTGCAGAATGGATATGAACATGAGGCTGAGGAACTCCGCGAGGAATAAGTTAGCAGAGGATTTTTGCCATTAAGAACTTTAAGAAGTTGGCTTGGTTTGATAATGTATCAATAGGAAGCTACTTGAAATTTTGTTCCCAGTGTGACAAGATTAATGATGATTATGAAGTTTATGCTCAGATTAAGATGGTTGGATTGATGTATTCAGTGGAACAAACACTTGGTAGAGTATTGAAGCTTTTAATTCCTCTGCTAAACTATTTTATTTTGTGTATGAGAGTTGCATTGAATTCTACATACTCCCTCCTTCCTACTAAAATAGTTCAATTTCAATGGATAACTTTTTTAATTTAGTAAATCCTTGTACAAATCATTTTTATGTTTCAAACTTCCAATTTTAGCCGACTGACAATTAATTTATATACTAATTATTAAAAAAAAAAGCACAACCGTAGGTTTCCCAAGGATAAAGGAGCCGTCAGCGTTCAACATCATCATCATCAATTAGTTCATCTTCGATCAATTCGATTGTCTGCTGATGTTGCTGCCGACGTCGTTGACCGTTCATCTCCGATCAATTTTACTTTTTCAAGTCGTTCGTCTCCGTGGCCATCGCCGCTGGACAATTCTCAATGGTTCGTTGCCACTGGACAATTCCCAATTTAGTTTGTCTCTGCTGTCAGTGCCGTTCGCCGTTCGGGGAGGGGGTGTGCCTTATTATACCCGGCGATTTGAAAACCCAACACCCTAGCGCTGCCACCGTCAAGAAATCAAAGGAAAGCGAGCGGCGTTGTAGGCGATCTAAGCCAAAGAAGAAAATGAACCAGTCACGGGCCGAGTCCAGTGAAAGATGTTGTAGCAAATGGTACCACCACAATGGTGGCTCCGATTTTCAAAAAGGTTTTGTATCTGAGAAGGTTGGAGTAGATCTAGATCACCATGTGCAAAACCCCCTTCACGCTCACTTCGGATGACTTCATCAATAACTCATTCCCTTGGAAGTACCACTTTTGAGATACATCCCTGTTTTCCATCTCCGTCTCCATATCTACTGTCCTCTGGTGAATGAGTTTCAGGGCGGAGAATCAGAGAAAGGAGAGATTAAAAGTTAAAACGGTGGGAGGAGACTGTGGTGGCAGTGGTGATAGGACAGTTAACTCATTTTACTTATTTTAATTTTATCTTTTTTGAAACTGGATTATATTTTTTGGGATAAGTTTGTTATCAAAATGAAATATTTTTGTGAGACGGAAGGAACTATATTTTTTGGGATAAGTTTGTTATCAAAATGAAATATTTTGTGAGACAGAGGGAGTACGATGAATTTGGTTGTTTTGACAAAATTGGTTGTCTTGATTTGAAGAGTGAGTTCTATGGGGTGGTGGATCAACCAGGGTACAGTGAGGGGTGCTCTTAGGGATTTGGAAGGATGAAGGTTGTTTCGCTGTTTGTTTTTTGTTAGTTGTTACCATAGGAATCCATATGTTTACCAGGGATTTAAACATGATCATGTTTTTTTCAATCGTTATGGCCTACTTTTTATTTTGCCAATTTCTTTATGATTGACACCTTATAGGTAGTCATTCAAATAAACTTGAATTAGTATTATACCCCACGTTGTGCGATTTTAAAATGTTTTAGAGTAACATTCAAGTATTGTTATCTTCCTATGAAAAGTGTCATATAATTTTTTTTTTAGATATATATTATGCACCTGGTGTCGGAAATCAAGAGTGTCATATGATTTTTTATTTTTTTATTTTTTTAATTTTTGGTAACTCCGCACTCCATATTAGGAATCATTGTTCCGACTAATCCAGATTCTAATCGGTTGGTCCATTTCAGAAGATAAATCTCTCCAAACAATTACTACTACATACCTATACTCATGTGTATTCCCGAATCATACTTAAGTTAGTCTAATACTTTTAGCACTTTGATTAAATACTTTTTGGTCATATGAATTTCTTTTCCAAATACAAATGAATATGACCAACTGTCTAATATGCTATTTATTTATGAATTTTAAAATATCAAAATCTTTTTTTAAACACAAATTAATATGATCAATGATGGCTGTTGAGACCACCAAAAATTCACCTACTCAAAACTGCAGTCAGTGATAAGCATGGTCGATCCTATAGAGACGGAAAACACTTAGTAAAAATTGGGATCCAGAACAAGAATACAAAGCAGAAATAAAAACAAGAAATTGGCAAGTGAGTTTATGACTTGACAACGTGATAGCAGTCTAGGGTCGTCCTCCACTTTACTCTATATGCATATGTAATGATTCTTTTAGCTCTCTATAAGGCATGAAATTGTATTCAACTATGCACATAAACACTTTAAGGTCACTCTCATTATTCCAAACAGTAGTCCTAGCAGCAACAAGCTCACTAACTCTCGTTGTTGACTCCAGAATACTACTAAACCATTAAGAACTTCGGCCCTTATAATTGTCTCGTACCAAACAACAAACTCTCGTTGTTATTTGAAACCTTGGGCTGTTACTGTGAGACTCCGTGGAAGCATGCTGGTGCCACATCCGACATCGATGGTGGGTGGGGTGGATGATCATTTTATAAGCTGCAGCTACTTGGTTTACTAATAACTTGGGTTAACCATTTTGAGTATAACGAGGACGAGCACCAAAATAGTTATTGGACCAGACTTAGTAACTGGGACATTACAATTGGTATCAAGCTGACCTAGTTCAGGTGCGGACCCACCTCTAAGCTCACATGAAGGAGACAAGTGTTGTGTGTCACCTCTGAACTCATAGGAGGTGTGAGACAAATGAAACGCATTTGTTCTAGGGAAGTCTAGGCCAACTGTATGTGTTGTGTGTTGTGTGTTGCTATGTGTCTTAGGCCTTACAAGGACGCAAGGATCCGAAGGGAATCGAGTGTGAGACCCCGTGGAAGAATGTTGGTGCCTCATCCCACATCAGTGGTAGATGATTAGTTTATAAGTTGTAGCTACCTGTTTTACTAATAACTTGGGCTAACCATTTTGGGTACAACGAGGACGAGTACCCAAATAGTTATTGGGCCAGACCTAGTAGATGGAGCGTTACAGTTATCCCCTCGTCATCGATTAATCTCAGACATTTTAAGTTAAATTTACCCTCTCAGGATTCTCCTAATATGCAAGCTCGATTAGTTTGACTGACATGTAAGGATAACTAAAACTCTAAGACTAAGCATACAAATATTATCCGAGAGTATTTTTTTTTTTGAATTGGTACCTGTATTAATTAAGTGTTACTTAAACTAGTACATCGCATTTTTGCATAAGCTAAATTGTGTAGATCCTGAACTACCGTCCGATTTACCTTTATCAGTGATCAAAGCCGAAAGTAGACATTAGGGTACGTATGTTGGCGATTATCTCCTGAGCTTCACTCGAAAATTTAAAAATTTCCTGATCGGTGGTCAGGAGTTCACAATCCGTGTAGATGTGGAGCTGTTGAATGCCCAGAGATGAAGCATCTTGTAATGCATGTAAGCAGGTAGTAGCTTCTGCTTGGAGAGGTGACAGTGATGTTATAGAAAATGTCTTAATCTGCATCAACATCCCGGTTGAAGAGAGAATTCGCCAGGCTCCTGCTGCCTTTTTGTTATGCGAATTGAAGGATGCATCAAAAGTAAGTTCTGACAATGGATCAATAGGTCTTCTAGGAGGAAGGGTAGATGAAGTCGAAGCCGTCTGTGACCTTAGTCTGGACAGCAACACCTTGTGCTGCTTAAGGTCCTGTTGTATTAATCTCCATGAAGTGACCAGATCGTTGGTCTGACTTCTCCACACATTATCATTTCTGTCTAACCAGATACGCCAGAAGATTAAGAGGAAAAGGTCGATGTCTTCTGAAGATGGTTGAGTTTGAATCCATGAGGTAAACCAATCCAGGATGGAGGTCATGGAACCATTTAAAATTGAATGAAAATTAGGGTATGCAAAGCTCCAGACTGCTTGAGAAATTGGACAATTGAAAAAGAGATGAAGATTGTCCTCCAATCCTGTAAAGCACCTTGGACAGGAAGTATCAACCTGTATTCCCCTTCTCACAAGTTCTTGTTTGGATGGTAAGGCATTGAGTGCCGCCCTCCAAAAAAGGAATTTGTGTTTGGCTTGCACTTTGGCATTCCACAACTTCTTCCAAGCCAAGCTTTCAATATGTGAGGGAATCTGTTATGTTGCTTGAGCAGGTAAGGTGGAAGAATCTCGATTTAAAGATTCATGATACCCTGATTGGACCGTATAAGAACCAGGATCTGTCTTTTGCCACAGAAGTACATCTGGTTGCATATGCCTTGCAGGATCTACATATATTCCAGTTATATAGGGAATATACTGGTTTGGGAAAAAGGACTGAAGGAGAGACATTTTCCATTGTCTATTTGGTCAGAGAAGATCACTGACCATCAGATTGGAATGTTGAGCTAAAAAGGAATTGCACTATATAGGATTAGTGACTCCGGGAATTCAGTTGCTGGCAATCGGGATATCTCTACCACTTATAACCTTCCATTTTATGTTGTTGTGAAGGAGTTTTGCTCCCCAAAGAACACTCTTATATCCCAAGTGGCATTGGTGGGTGGAGTCTGATGGGGAAAATTTTCCATGGTGCAGTATTTCACTCTGTATATTCTGGATAAAAGGGAGGATGGTTGTGCCAAAATTTTCCAAACATGTTTAGCCAAGAGAGCTTGATTGAATTCGGCAGTGACTTTACGGCCTAAACCCCCATGAAATTGTGATTTAGCCATTTTCTTTCAAAATTTCCAATGAATGCCTTGCTCCTGATCATCACCTTTCCATATAAAACGAGCAATGATTCCATCCACTTTCTTTAATGTGGAGGCTGGAAGTTTAAAAACTCCCATCGGATATACCAACATAGCTGATAAAGTAGCCTTTGCCAATGTAACCCTCCCAGCAAAGCTAAGAAGCTTTGTCTTTCAGTCCGCAAACTTCCTTTGGAGCCTAGCGGTGAATTCTCTAAAGATATCTGTTTTTTTTCCGTTTGAAATCTAGAGACAAACC